GGGGGGGGGGGGGGCGGGAAATACTCATGAAGAAACTGTGTGGCATGAGAGCTACCAGCAGGGAAACTGAAAGTTTTGTTTCTGACTCACTGCAGATCCACCATCCGAAATGCAAAGAGCATCCACAAGCAGGGCCGGAAGCAGATCAGCCAGGAGACCTACAGGAGGAACAGCAGAAAGTACATTCAGAGCCGGAAGAAGATGAAGGAAAACTTCCAGAAGGTGGCCAATGTCATCAGTAAGTTTCAACAGGGCCTTTGTCTTGGACACAGGCTGAAGTTCTGCAGGCACAGCCTGTGCCCTTCAATGCTGGTTGGTGGAGCTGTGGCATGAGTGAAAAAGCCTGGGAATCCCTGTGCCACGCTGAAAGATCTGGGTGGGGGGTGAGGAAATGAGTCTTCTTTTCTCCAAAACCCTCTGCACTTCATGCCCCAAGGTTGGGCTGTCCCTTCAGGGCAGCACAGTCTCCAGCTCTGCCCCATCACAGGTGGGAGATGATGCAGCAGGACAACACATACAGGTCACACTGTGCCTGTCCACCCTTCTCCTGTGGGAAAAGCATGTGCAAGGAGGTGTTTCTTTTCAGTGAGGTTTCTTACCTCTGGTCTGACAGGTGGCATGGTGACATTTCTGCCCTCAGTAGGTCCTGGTGAAGGTCAGCCCACATTTAGGACTTGTGCTTTCCTCTGTGCACCTCACTTTCCCCATGCTGTTGTTACCATCACCATTATCATGTACGTTAGCTGTCAGCAAAGGACCTAGAGGGAATTGGTGCCTACAGAAGGAGGCTGCCATTGAAGTAGACACTTTAGATATGGCAATCCCTGTGCGGGATCCATGACCTTCCCAAAGGAGAGCAGCTCCCTGCACAGACCTCAAGCTGGACTCCAACCTGAACAGAGCTCCTGGCCAGGCACTGGTGGGCTCATCCCACCACCCTGACCCACAGGAAGCCCATCATCACATACAGCTGAGGCAGAAGGAGAGGCAGGAGCTTTGGTGACCATTATGTAGAAGCTTTTGAGTGTTCCCATGAAGGTACTGGTATTGGGAGGTGGGGGGCTCTGACCCATCTGTACATCTGCTTTACCTGCAGTTGAGAAAAACGAGCAAGAGGAGAACAAGCCCAAGGCTCAACCTGCTGTTCCTCCCCGTCCCAGCAAAGACCTCATCCTGAACCGCTGTACCGAGAGCACCCGGAGAAAGATCCTGTGAGCCCTCAGCCCTCCACACCAGCCAGCCAATGCTTTATCTCCTCCAGCTCCTGCGCAGTGGAGCTCAGAGCCATATCCAGGTGGCTCTGCCAGCTGCCGCAGGCCCTAGGGTGCTGCTGGATCAATGCAGCCCAGCACCCACCATCCAGAGAGCCCAAGATGTCCCGAGGAGGGACCCAGTCCCCCTCCACTGGCCCCTGGGGGACTGAGGCTTTCACAACCACTGGAGACTTCTTGAAACTAAACCCTCTTTTACCCCCTATTTGTATTTTTAATGATTTTGTGGTTTTCACCAGTAAAGGAGAGACACTTGAGAGACATATTTCAATGTCCACCTGGACAGCTGGTCAGTGCAGACACCGAGGAGCGGCATGGTTGCAGGAAAGGCGTTTCTTTCTGGTGGGGGATTGGGCAAGGGTCTCTTGTGAAAGATGCTGGCAGGGAGGAAATAAGGGTTTGAGGGTGAAAGGATGGCTGCTTCACTCCCTCTAGTGGAAAGCGAGGGCTGGGTTGTGGGGACGTGTTGGCTGGGGTGGGCTAGGAGCCATCAGGCAAGGTGGCCACCCCAAATGGCAGCGGGCTGTGAGGGGTGCAGGGCAGGTGGCCCAGCGCCTGTGGGGCTGCCCGGGCTTCCCAAGGCTGCGGCTGTGTGTCCCTCTCCGCCTCATGGAGGGCCGCCATGTCAGGAGGCCAGCGGCCATCTCAGCACGGCCAGCGCTCTGTGGCGTGGGTCTGGGTCCAGGTTAGTGTCCGGGTTTGGATTTCAGTTTGGGTTTGCAGTTGGGAAAGTCTGGGTCCGGGTCTCGGTGTGGGTTTGGTCTGGGTCTAAATCTGGGGTGGGCCTGCGGCTGGGTTTACATGCAGACCGCCGCCCCTCCAGCCGAGGCCTTGGC